AGAAGAATTCCTTACGTGTGGGGGTGCTCTCCCTCTCCCTCTCCCTCTCCCTCTCCCTCTCCTTTTCCTTTTCCTTCTCCTTCTCTTTGTCTCTCTCCTTGTCCTTGTCCTTGTGCCGCTCCTTGTCCTTCTCCGCCTGCGCGGCCTCCCGCTCAAGCTCCTTGAGCCGCTTGGCCTTGGAGTTCTGGAAGTGCGTGCGCAGCTGCTGCAGCGTCTTGTTGGGGAACGCCTCCTGCAGCTGCTCCCAGTCCTTCTTCTTGCCCTGCCGCGTCATCATCTCCCCGAACCGGTCCTTCTCCTCCTGCGTCCACACCGCAATCTTGCGCTCGCCCGGCGTCTTGTCCCCCCCGTCCCTCTTCTTGCCCGCTGCCGCCGCCGCGGGCGCCTGCTTCCCGGGACCCAGGATCGGCTCCCCGCTGGACTCGTCGGAGTCCCCCCCCGCCAGCAGCGCCGTGAACGTCTCCGCCTCCGGGACGTCCTGCTCCGGCGCCGCCTTCTTGGTCCGCGGCTTGGCCTTCTTCTCCGGCCCCTTGGCAGGCCGCGCCTGCGCAGACACCTCCCCCGCCTCGTCGCCCTCCTTGTCGCTGCAGCTCAGCGACCCCTCCGTCGCCATCAGTGACATCTCGTGCCCGTCCGCTGCCCCGCCCTCCTCTTTCGGCAGGACCGCCCGCCACAGCGACGGGGCCCCGTGCACCGACCCTTCCAGGTCCTCGGAGGCCGCCTTCCCCGACCGCTCCCCTTTCACAGACGACGCCTTGCCCTCTCCCGACTTCTTCGGCTTCGGCTTCATAGGCTTCGGCTCAACCCCCTGGCTGCCCGGCCCCGCCTCCTCGCCCTTCGGCTTGCCTGCCTTTTTCTTCGGTGGCCCCCCTGCCTCCGCCGCCCCGACTGTCTTCTCGACCTTCTTCTTCTTCTTCGGCCGCTGCGCGTCCCCCCCTGCTCCCACCAGCGAGCCCTTCCTTTTCAGCACCTCCCCGAGGGGCCGCATCTCCATCTCGTCTGCGCTGTCGCTGAGCCCCTCCTTTGCCTCCAGCAGCGTCATGGCGGCCCGCAGCTCGTCGTCCGCCCCCCCCGGCAGCGACGTCGGCGACTTCTGCACCCCCGGGGCCACGCCGGCGGGGGGCTTCACCACCAGCGTCGGCTTCGTCGGCGGCGCCGCGCTGGCCTTGACCTCCTGCTCCTTGCGCCCCAGGATGGCCGCCTTCTCCTGCACCTTGGCCAGCCCCAGCTGCAGCTCCCGCTTCAGCTCCTCGTTCGACACCTTCTTGCCAAACGGCGCCGCCTCCTTGGCGCCCCCCGCTGCGCCACCCGCCACCTCCAGGGCGCCCTTGTCCGCAGACCCCTGGCCCTTGATGCTGGCCACCTCAGCAATCGTGCGGTCCTCGTCGCTCTCGCTCGCCACCCCAACCTTCTCGCCGGTACCCACCTCCGGCGCAGCCCCATTGTTGGCGGCGCCCCCGTCCTCCGGCCCTGCGCCCGGTGTGCCCTTGAGGCTGCGCTCCTCGAGCAGGCGGTCCAGCCCCAGGCGCTTGCGGCTCTTGCTGAAGAACGCCTTGCACTGCGCGCTGCTCTTGCTGCCCACGCGCGCCGCCACCTGT